AGGGCCCATCTTCCAGGACACAGGCTGGGCACGGGGCCCATCATCTTCGGGACTGGGCTGCATGGACATCTGAGGCCTCTTCAGGACTGTGGATGTGCAGGGAGACCCATCTTCAGGACACAGGCTATGGGCATTACAGAGACCCATCTTCAGGACACAGGCTATGGACATTACAGGGACCCATCTTCAGGACACAGGCTATGGACATTACAGGACCCATCAGGACCCACAGGACATTACATCAGGACTGAGCTATGGACATTACAGAGACCCATCTTCAGGACACAGGCTATGGACATTACAGGGAGACCCATCTTCAGGACACAGGCTATCATTACAGACCCATCTTCCAGGACACAGGCTATGGACATTACAGAGACCCATCTTCAGGACACAGGCTATGGACATTACAGAGACCCATCTTCAGGACACAGGCTATGGACATTACAGGGACCCATCTTCAGGACACAGGCTATGGACATTACAGAGACCCATCTTCAGGACACAGGCATTACAGAGACCCATCTTCAGGACACAGGCTATGGACATTACAGGGACATCTTCGGGACTGGGCTATGGACATTACAGAGACCGATCTTCAGGACACAGGCTATGGACACATACAATAGAACTATTACAATAGACCTACTTTTTGGACACAGGCTATGGACAATACAGGACACTTACTTTCAGGACACATTCTATGGACATTACAGGGGAACTATAGTTTATATAAGGAAACCTACCTTCATTGCACAGGCCATGGGCACTGCATAAGCTATAGCGACACCCAGTCCAAACATCAGTCCGTACGTGAAAACAACGGCAACGAAGGAGTGCTGGACTGACAAGTACGTCAACTGGACTCCGGCACTGGAACACCACAACAACAAAAACAGTTTTTTTTTTATAAATTCCTGCATTCTAAGGCTGACTGTTGACAGTTGTTTTTTTTTAATTTTAATCAAATTATCCCTGACAACATCTTAATGACAATAGTAATGCAGCTTTACATGCAAGAAATGCACACTGTCAATATGTTAAATTCAGGGTCAACTGTATTCTGTCATACTGATGCTGAAACAAATGCATGTATACCCAATGTAGCCCATGTAAGTCTAGGATGTGTGGCAAGTCTAGATTAATGTCAACAGAGTTTCTTAAAATGAAGAAAGTCTCTGGCTCCTTTTATTGTATCTATACACCTGGAACTTAATTAAGCACCCCCTGATATATTTCATGATAGTAGAGCAACTGTTAACCATCGTTAAACATGAATGATATCTCTGTATTACAACACATCTCTAGTAGTCTAAAAAGGTGTTTCAGTTCCTTTGCACTCGTCAAAACGCATCCCTTGTGCACGTGAAGCATACAACCCACACTTTTCCCAAAATTCAGTTTCTCTGATATGCAATTTATGGGTATAAAAGCAGACAAATTTGTAACTATCTCCATTAATAAATACTGAAATGGCGAGGAGATGACTTTCTGAAGCACTCAGGTGGCAAATTGTAGGCATACATGCAACAGGCATGTCCTCAAAGCTATTGGGCGACAACTGGAGCTTCCAGTCACTTTCGGTCATCAACCGACTTGTCCGAAACATCAGATGACAGGAGATGTGGCGATCGTTCAAGGCCTGGACAACTCCAGGAGGACAACGGCCGTGATGATAGCAGCCTATAGCGCCTGGTAAAGCCGAGAACCCTTTGCCACAAAGTTCGGTTGAAAGCATCTGTGGTTACCCTACAGACAATTATCCACCAGAACCCGTTAGAAATCGCCTTAGGGCACTTGGTAGCGAGGTTCAGAAAAGAGTCATCAAACGTCCTGCTCTGTCTGATCTCCTTAAGAGGCGGCGTCTGGAGTGGTGTATGGCCCATGCGGCAGTGGAACCTGGACATGGAGGAGGGTCCACTGGTCAGATGAGCAGGTTCCTTCTCCATGTTACAGATGGTCGAATGGGGTGTGGGGGCATAAAAACACTGCTTACGTGCCCAGGAATATCCACCCTATTGTTCCTCATGGTGGAGGATCGGTTATGATCTGGGTTTGTCTTTCACACTACTGTAAACTTCAAATGGTGACTGTCCCGAGGACATCTTTAATGGTCAAGCAGTACATCGGGATATTCTCCATCGGTTAGTCGTGCCTCACTTTTGACAACCATCCGTTGGCTACTCACCCGATATTCATGGACGACAACGCCAGGCGCGATCGTTCACGTGCTGTGACCGCAGATCTCCATAATGAGGCTATCATGGCATTACCTTTGGCCAGCAATGAGCCTCGATTTGAATCCTTTGGAGCACATCTGGGACTTTCTTGGGACGCCGTGTGAGGTTGAAGAACCCCCTCTCCAGAATCTTGCACAGCTGGAAGCTGCTTTGCATGAAGAATGGCGGCAATTGCCACTTGATCGTATCAGAAGGTTTACTAGTAGCATGAGGAGAAGGATTCAAGCTGTCATCCAAGCTTGTGGGGGATACACCCGATACTGATGCCAGGCGATCAGATGTTAGCATGTGACATTCCTTGTGCATCATTTCTTGTAATAGTCAGCCATTGACAATGCTACGACCATACTTGTTCAGTGACTATTTTCATCAAAAATCAATAGTGACCAAATCACATTGGTTACGCTATTAAAACAACACGAATTGGAATCATTGTCTTGTTTTTCATTTGCCAATAGATCGTATGTTTCACAATAGCTAAGGTTCCACTATCTTTGCAATAGTGAGAAAGTTACAGCAAGTTTTGTTTCTCATCATCCAGAAAATAGGGGGGTGCTTAATTAAGTTCCAGGTGTATAGTTTAAATTAAAACCTATTTTTCTGTAAAACATGTTCATTTTATAGACTAGCAGAAAGTCTCTATCATATTTTAACTAAAAAACTGTCAGAGACTAGCTGTTAGTAAAGGTCAGCTACTATAAAGTCGTTTATACAGGTTGCTTCCAGCGAGGTCTAAAACCTGGTCAGGGGAGCTTAAAATGGTGAACATGGTCAATTATAGAAACATGAACACCAGGGCCCACTTGCACAGAGCAATCTTAGTTACAATCAATCTTAGGGCCTTACAATCAACTTAACAATCACCATACAATTGCCCTAACCCACTTGCACAAAGCCGATCTTAGCGCGATTGTAAGACCGCATGGATTTAAGATCGCGATGTTAGCTAAGATCGAACTCTTCAACGGTGGAGGTGCGAATTTCTTAAACTCGACTCCTGTCTACAGTTGTCTGCAAGTGCACATAGCATACTGCGCAAATAGAGAGTGATACTGGTACAATACATACCTCCCTCAATCGCACTTTGCAGAATTTTCATGAAAAACATTCCCAGAAATCTTCGAATGAAACGATTACGTTGACGATAGCATATATTTTTCTACATTTTAACTGTCTTGATTTATGAACTGAGAATGTGATATTTCAACCACGGAAATACCTACCCATGGTTTATGAAAATATTGAACTGAGAAAAAAATACATTATGAAATAATAATTATGAAAATTATAATAATATATCAAATATCGACAATATTTCCTTATGATATAACTGCATGATTTGCCACTGGTTGTCAATGAGACATTGTTTAATGCACAGCTGTTTTTTTTGGTTTTTTTGTGTGTGTAAAATCCTAAATATACCCTAGAAGTATTGGTTTTCTCACAATATAACAAAAAAATGTAATCGGACTACAGGAGTGTTGTAAAGAATTCATGACGGGGAAATACGAATGTCAAATAATATATCGAGAGAGCAATTGTTAAATACTCATTCAGAGTCTATTAATGATATGACCCTATTGTGTTGATAAATATTTTTCTAAAAGTGAAATTAAAATTGAATCTTGATTTTGCACGTTAACTTGTATCTAATTTTTGATTACTTTAATAATGACCCTAAACAGTTACTAGCCAGTAAAAGTCAAACCTCATGAGCATTGATCCCAGAAGCGTGGTGAGTCGGGGGCCGATATATCGGTTGATGACGCCCCCAAGGAACATGGACAGTCCCTGACCCATTCCTGACATGGAGAAGATCCACACACTTTCCCCATACTGCAGGTTACTGGGGCTGCTGTACTTCCGGATGTACGAGGTCAGGTATGGGTTCAGGTTGCCTGCACCAAAGACATTACATGTAGACACAAAAAAAGGCTTGTGGTTAAATAGATCTGAGGTAAATAGAACCCCAAGAACCTCCCATACCATAACATAGACTGAAGGTAGTCTTATCGCTAAGGTGACCGTAACTCCCATACCATAACATAGACTTAAGGTAGTCTTAGCGCTAAGGTGACCGTAACTCCCATACCATAACATAGACTTAAGGTAGTCTTAGCGCTAAGGTGACCGTAACTCCCATACCATAACATAGACTTAAGGTAGTCTTAGAGCTAAGGTGACCGTAACTCCCATACCATAACATAGACTGAAGGTAGTCTCAGCGCTAAGGTGACCGTAACTCCCATACCATAACATAGACTTAAGGTAGTCTCAGCGCTAAGGTGATCGTAACTCCCATACCATAAAATAGACTTAAGGTAGTCTCAGCGTTAAGGTGACCGTAACTCCCATACCATAACATAGACTGAAGGTAGTCTCAGCTAAGGTGACCGTTACTCCCATATACCATAACATAGACTTAAGGTAGTCTCAGCTCAGGTGACCGTAACTCCCATACCATAACATAGACTGAAGGTAGTCTTAAGCTAAGATGACCGTAACTCCCATACCATAACATAGACTTAAAGGTAGTCTTAAGCTAAGGTGACCGTAACTCCCATACCATAACATAGACTTAAGGTAGTCTTAAGCTAAGGTGACCGTATCTCCCATACCATAACATAGACTGAAGGTAGTCTTAGAGCTAAGGTGACCGTAACTCCCATACCATAACATAGACTGAAGGTAGTCTTAGCGCTAAGGTGACCGTATCTCCCATACCATAACATAGACTGAAGGTAGTCTTAGCGCTAAGGTGACCGTAACTCCCATACCATAACATAGACTTAAGGTAGTCTCAGCGCTAAGGTGACCGTAACTCCCATACCATAACATAGACTTAAGGTAGTCTCAGCGCTAAGGTGACCGTAACTCCCATACCATAACATAGACTTAAGGTAGTCTCAGCGCTAAGGTTGTTTTGTACAGCAGCACCCTGGTTGGTTATTCCTGGGGTCAGAATACTTCAGGGAGTTATCTAAGATTCCATATAAAGTTCCTTTACCGGGGAAAATGGGAAAATAGCATTTCTCTGAAAAAGCAATTGAAACCAATTTCCCGAGGCCAATGGCTTACGTTTCAAACAAAACCAAGGAGGGGGTTTTGATCAAACTTATGAACCAACCAAAGATATACTTTAGATATAATTTCAATATTTGGTATTTACTGTTGAAATCAACTGGGATGCAACTGGCAGACGATACCTTGCGTGGCACGCACAATGCATGTGCTCTGCACGCGCTACCCATGTCCTGCACATGCACTGTCCGCACTACCCGTCTTGTGAGGAACGCATGGTTCATTCTGACAAACAATCACATTCTTCACAGCGATCCTTCGTAGCCTAGTGGATAAAACCACCAAGCTAGTAAGCTAGGGGTTGCAGGTTCCTAGGGGTAAGCTAGGGGTCGCAGGTTCCTAGGGGTAAGCTAGGGGTCGCAGGTTCCTAGGGGTAAGCTAGGGGTTGCAGGTTCCTAGGGGTAAGCTAGGGGTCGCAGGTTCCTAGGGGTAAGCTAGGGGTCGCAGGTTCCTAGGGGTAAGCTACACAATACATTGGCAGCTTTCAATAACGTGATATTTTATGATTGTGTTAAAAACTTGTACAAGTAAAATAATCCAAAGTCAAGGCCTATTCCATAGAAAATCCCCAGGCAAATGCCCGGGATCCAGGCAATTCTGTAGAAAATCCCTGGGATTTCTTTGAAACTGCCTGTGGAGGTTTACTCGGTAAAAGGAGAATCTGACGAGACAACAGAGTGACATCACTGGAGGTATATAAATGAAATACAAGTCACCTGAATAAGGCCATTACATTAATTTACACTCTATTAAACACAAAAGTGATGAATTATTTTAGTTTATACATTTCAGTCAGGGAATTGTCTCCTGTCGAAGCCCGCATCAAGCCCTGTGTTCAGTCAAATTAATGTTCATATAAATTCTCGGGACAAGTTGACACTGGTCCGGTTCAGTTCAAGATAATGTCAGTTCTACAGATAATGTCAGTTCTATCAGATAATGTCAGTTCTATCAGATAATGTCAGTTCTATCAGATAATGTCAGTTCTACAGATAATGTCAGTTCTATCAGATAATGTCAGTTCTATTAAAACTTCTATCAGATGTCAGTTCTTTTCTATCAGATAATGTCAGTTCTATCAGATAATGTCAGTTCTATCAGATAATGGATAATGTCAGTTCTACAGATAATGTCAGTTCTATCAGATAATGTCAGTTCTATCAGATAATGTCAGTTCTATAAGATAATGTCAGTTCTACAGATAATGTCAGTTCTATCAGATAATGTCGGTTCTATCAGATAATGTCAGTTCTATCAGATAATGTCAGTTCTATCAGATAATGTCAGTTCTATCAGATAATGTCGGTTCTATCAGATAATGTCAGTTCTATAATGTCAGTTCTATCAGATGTCAGTTCTATCAGATAATGTCAGTTCTATCAGATAATGTCAGTTCAGATAATGTCAGTTCTATCAGATAATGTCAGTTCTATCAGTTCTATCAGATAATGTCAGTTCTATCAGATAATGTCAGTTCAGATAATGTCAGTTCTATCAGATAATGTCAGTTCTATCAGATAATGTCAGTTCTATCAGATAATGTCAGTTCTATCAGATAATGTCAGTTCTATAATGTCAGTTCTATCAGATGTCAGTTCTATCAGATAATGTCAGTTCTATCAGATAATGTCAGTTCAGATAATGTCAGTTCTATCAGATAATGTCAGTTCTATCAGTTCTATCAGATAATGTCAGTTCTATCAGATAATGGCAAGGTTTTTGTGTAGACGAAAGCCAACAGGCAAACAGTATCTGTTGTGGGCAACGTGTGGGAGATAAATATGTCAGTGTCTGCAAACAAGCATGTCGGTCAGTGATCAAGTTAGAAATGATCATCAAGTGACTCTTGGTTAACATCGATAGAACTGATTGTAAAGGAAAACTTGAATGATGTTGTGTATTTACAACACCCCCGATAATCCCATGCAAGCCTATCCTCATCGGTGTGAGTAGAAGAATTCCTGTACAAATATTTGAGGTAATGCTGAATGGGGTTGAACGTCACTTTCAAGATTACATGACGGATATTGTGATGTGCATGACATTCGTGTGGCTGGTGGTATTTGTCAGACAAATGTAAGTTTGATGGTCCTGCACCGAAAACCAGTCAAACTTTTATGCCATTAGCGCCCAACATATTGTAACAACTGGTGCTACCAGTCTTAACATCTAACGTAAGATGTAGCCAGAGGGAGGATTGAACAACCACCTTCCAGCTGCCATTCACCCAAACATGTTGTATTATGAACAGAGCTTCTTTTCAACACATCCCATTTCATTTATCAGAATCTTTCTAAAGAGTGAGTGAGTGAGTTTATTTCTATGCCGCTTTTAATAATATTCCTGCAATATCCCAGCGGGGACACCAGAAAAAGGCTTCACACATTGTACTAGTGTTGGAAACTCCCCAAAATTTCGGCCAGACAACTGGACTGGTAATTCTCAAAAGTTACCAGACCGGCTGGAAAGTTGCCAGTCCAGAATTTTCTGGATTAAGACAAAATAAAAAGAAAGTTACGTTAATAAGAGGAGGGAACTGTTTAATGTCAGGTTATTGTCACAATAACACATGTTTTCAAATGTTTTTCAGTGAAGGCTTTAGTCATTATATACATTACAACATTACACTGACTTAACAGCAAGACCATCGGGCGTGCAACTTTTCAAAACTGACCGTCCCAGACGGTCGGGCAGGCGGTAGTTTGCAACGCTGATTGTACCCACGTGGGGAATTGAACCCGGATCTTTGGTGTGATGAGTGAACGCTTTAACAACTAGGCTACCCCTGTGCCCCTTTTGAAAAGAGAAATCCATCAATTGTAACTTAACTCTTGTGACAACACATCAGAGAAATGAACAAAAATTCGCCTCAGAGAACAACTTCACCTTGGGCAACAAAGACTTAAATTGATGTAGATTTTACAAAACTCCAGGGGCAGAGGTACAGACAACAATTCTACATCTGCTTACACGTCTGCCAGTATCTACATGAGTTGTGCCACGCTGTGACCTGGGTAGAGGTCTCATGGATGATTTCTTAAGGACTGTTATTTATGTAGTTTCTCTCTCTGACTGGAGAGAATGTCTTTAGATCGAAAGCTGGAATGTGACTGAAATCTTTAAATCCTTGAGTTTACAGATTTGTAAGCATTAAAGAAGGTATTTTGAAGGAGAAGGGTCAAAATGGTGATGCATTTGAAATACGAAAAATGTTGGCACAAACATCAAGAAAGAGAATGAAGGAGTGTGGCTTTAGGTCAACATAGAATACTGGACTAACATACTCAGTCAGTCGGATATATTCAGCTGATGACATTTGTAAAGGGGCAAATATGCAGAAGCTATTCAGGCATGACCAGGGCTGTAGGATCTATGATTTACGGATCATTACCTCGTACATTACGTGCAAATAATCAATGTTTCTCATGACTTTATCCATTGTCATTGTGTCCATAGTATTTGAGTAGCAGGCAAATGAGTCATCCTTACCTTACAGATGATATCCTTATCTCATCTATGTAGCATAGCGTTGAGTCACAACAGATGACATCCTTACCTTCTCAGTGTATCAGGGCGTGGAATCACCAGACAGATGACATCCTTACCTTGTCAGTGTAGCAGGGTGTGGAGTCATCCCACAGATGACATCCTTACCATGTCAGTGTACCAGGCCGTGGAGTCATCCCACAGATGACATCCTTACCATGTCAGTGTAGCAGGGCGTGGAATCATCCCACAGATGGTATCCTTACCTTGTCAGTGTAGCAGGGCATGGAGTCATCACACAGAAGACATCCTTACCGTGTCAGTGTAGCAGGGAGTGGAGTCATCACACAGATGACATCCTTACCTTGTCAGTGTAGCAGGGCAAGGAGTCATCACACAGATGATATCCTTACCTTGTCAGCTTGCTGGTGATGTTAACCTTACCTTACAGATGATATCCTTACCTTGTCAGTGTAGCAGGGCGTGGAGTCATCACACAGATGACATCCTTACCTTGGCAGTGTAGCAGGGCGTGGAGTCATCACACAGATGATATCCTTACCTTGGCAGTGTAGCAGGGCGTGGAGTCATCACACAGATGACATACTTACCTTGGCAGTGTAGCAGGGCGTGCAGTCATCACACAGATGATATCCTAACCTAGTCAGTGTAGCAGGGCATGGAGTCATCACACAGATGATATCCTTACCTAGTCAGTGTAGCAGGGCGTGGAGTCATCACACAGATGACATCCTTACCTTGTCAGTGTAGCAGGGAGTTTAGTTTTACACCACACTCACCAATATTCCAGCTATATACCGGCAGTCTGTAAATAATAGAATCTGGACTAGACAATCCAGTGATCAACAGCAAGAGCATCGATCTGCGCAATGGGGAACCGATGACATTGTCAACCAAGCCAGCGAGTCTGACCACCCGATCCCGTTAGTCTCCTCTTACGACAAGCATGGGTTACTGAAGGTTCATTCTAACCTTCACGGGTGTCTACTTGAGGGAGTATGAGTGAGTGAGTTTAGTTTAACGCCACTTTTAGCACTATTCCAGCAATGCCACATCTTGGGACACCAGCAGTGGACTTCAGCCATTGTACAAATGTGGGGAATCGAACCCAGGACTTTGGCGTGACAAGTGAACATTTCAAACACAAGGCTACTTCAGCACCCCAATGTCTACTAGAAATTTACATCATTTTCAGTAGATATTACTGACATAGCGTTGATGTATTGTCTTGTATTAGCCAAGCGTATTTGACCAAAGACATGTTACTGAACTCAGGCTAGAGGCTAGTGGTACAGACAGTTAATTCTTTACAACTGTGAAGCTAGTTATTGTACAGTGAAGCTAGTTATTGTACAGTGAAGCTAGTTATTGTACGGTGAAGCTGGTCATTGTACATTGAAGCTAGTTATTGTACAGTGAAACTAGTTATTGTACAGTGAAGCTGGTTATTGTACGGTAAAGCTGGTCATTGTACGCTGACACTGGTTATTGTACGGTGAAGCTGGTTATTGTACAGTGAAGCTGGTTCTTGTATGGTGAAGCTGGTTATTGTACAGTGAAGCTGCTTATTGTACAGTGAAGTTGGTCATTGTACAGTGAAGCTGCTTATTGTACAGTGAAGCTGGTTAATTTATTGTATGGTGAAGCTGTTTATTTTAATGTGAACCTGGTTATTGTACAATGAATCTGTTTATTGTACGGTGAAGCTGGTTATGATATGGTGATCCTGGCTATTGTATGGTGAAGTTGGTTATTGTACAGAGAAGCTGGTTATTTTACGGTGAAGCCTTCTGTGACTACTTGATATTCTGGTGCATATATTTCAGTACATTCAAGATTACATCAATAGAAAGTTGCTGCAGCATGTACAATTATAAACATCGAGCCTCTTGGGCTTAAGCATGGCTGAAAGAATGAATGAAAAAAATACATACCAGGACATTTAATTGAGCAAATTTGATAAGTAAATTAATTGTGATAACTAATCACCTAATAATATTTTAGAGAAGATTATTTTCATAGGTGATATTTCTTTTACAGGTACTGTGAAAGTTGCAAAATAAAATTAGTAGGCAAACATTCACTAAATACTGATTGGATTAAGCAGGGCTATATGGTTCTTTCAGAGTGCAAGCTGGAGATACAACCAGACAAGCAGTGATTGTGCCGATCTGCATGTACACACACTGAATCCTGCAACATCTGGCTGGCTGGCCACACATGCGGCAAGGACACCACAGACATATGGATCACTGACATATACGGGAAATAACATTAATTGTTCAGACATTATGCTTCAGCTAATCAAATGCACCATTCAATACATTGCTGCCCATTTACAACCTGCTTATCCTATTAGCTGACTATAACAGGGTTGATCTACCATATGTACACTACTTAATGAAGATTATCTAATTTATGCATTGGATTTCTCATATGATTAAATACATTTGCCACCTACATCAACGATATTATACATTGTATAGATCTGCTCCCTTGAAACAATTTCTCCCAAAACTTTTTGGAAATAATTTGTGTTAATAAAAGAATTCTTTATACAAATGGTTTGCTCATTTCATGCATGATGGCCCTCAAAATTTTAAAAAAAATTAAAATGTCCACATCATTCAATTAATACAAACATACTGATATCATCTAAAATATCAATTTGCTCAATAGTCTGAAACAGTTTTAGAACTTTAGGCAAATGTATTATTTTGATCTTTATTCACTGAATATATTTTCATTTTTTTTCTAGGTAGATCTATGTTTATGGTGGATGCATGCATAATAGTTTTAACTTTTATAGCTGTAGGCAATGCTAGGCATTATCCAAACAAAATACTGAACAATTTATTCCACGGAAGAAGGATGCGTTGCGTGTTTAGCCTTTATACTTCATATAAATAAACTCGTATTCCAGCCAAGGCCTACAGGCTACACACCTTGGTGCAAAGTCGTCTAGTTATATGCTGGACTACATCTAGGCCTAATCAATATGGGACTTGATTTCTCCACATAAGAAATACTTTAATCAGAGCCCTTCGGTAAAACATGATATTATTTCGACGCCTGCATCTGCTTCATATATTGACTGCATAGTGACATACGAAATGTCAGTCGGTGAAACATATGTGATCAGAAAAAATCTGTTGACCGACCCACTACTCTCTGGAGTCATATCAACAACAGGTGGACATCTGGCAAGTGACAAGCACACTTCAGATCCAATATCGGATATCATAAAAGTCAATACAAATCTTACCGAACGTATAAACTGTTCCGAGAGTGAGATGCACCAGCACCCCACCCACTATCACAAGATATTTACGCCACCTGTCAGGTATCGCCATTCTTTACGACTGTCAACAACTTTAATGACTGATCCCTGGAGGGAGAAATCATTGTATGAAATTGACGCCGGCGTGTCACGTGGTTTTGAAGAGGGTCATATGACTGCGGGGAAACGTACAGTCACGGTTAAAAGGCATGAATCTGATATTGATCTACTTAGGACAATAATAAACACTTGTCAGCCTCTTCGGATTATATATACGGACGCAAATATTACATCACAACGAGCCTGTGAACACAGGCACTTGTAACGCTACTCTAAAGAGACCCCGTCAGTGACAGCTATAGATCTATCTATATATAACTGGATGGCAGTGTTTAGCGTTATATATGTACAAGCTCCTGCGCCTGTGAATGGCTCTTTTACACATCTCATTCAATACCTTGATTCGATTGACAGTGATATTTAAATTTAATTTGAATTCGATCTAGAGATGCCCGTGTACAATGCGAACAAAATATTCCAATTTGACATAAATTTGATTATATATCATTGATTGATAACAACACATATTTTTACTCCTTGTTTTAAGCTGGATTTGTAAATTTGTTTTTTTAACATTATATATATAAAAATTATTGCATGTGTATGGGGTATTTCTGGACAGTAAGGAAGATTTTCTTGACCCGGGTACCAAATCCTGATCAACAGGTCCCTGTTATGAAAGCGGAGACTTATTACAAAGTATTACATTGTTCATACTATCATTCCGATATTAGCATTGCACATTCGGGTACAGCACATCACTAAGCATCTGAAAACCAAGGGACATCTAACCAATGTTGAATGTGCGAAATCAAATACATTAATGACTTCCTTTGTTCCCACCGGTGGCACCAACAGCGATATGGACAAGTCAATCGCGGTTGTAAAGAAAATACAGGAGAAATCCAAATGACACAATTTAATGAGAATATGAACTTGCCGATCTGTGTTTACGCTGGCAAGTAAAGCTGAAGTGAAACGAATGCATGTTTTTTCAAAACAAATGAATGTGTGTTTTAATAGGTTTGCATCCAATAAATCCCAGACAAGGTACAAACTGCAATGAGTGTGTACAATCGTACTTGAAGATAAAAAATCGTAATAAATACACCAGGTAGGCAGTAACAAAACATTCTTCTTCACAACAAATATCACTAGCGTTTGATGACCTGACGGTTAAAACTATAAACTGTCAACTCCTGGACAGTAAAATCACAACACAATGGGCAGTTTGTTTGCTAAATGTGAACAACTCTTTATAAAATGTACAGATTGATTTTTCGACGATTATTGAAAAAGTACTGACGCATTAAAGCCTAAACTCTGAATGAAGACCTAAAATAACTATATCTAAGAATTGACAGCAAGAAAAGGCGTGTCTGCTGATGAGGATGTCATATTTTCTGTTGAAACGATCATATTCCGCGAACTTGTTTCGATACCCAGGAGGGTGCCCTCGCTTAACGCGCAATTGCAATACATAGAGAGGGTGTCAAGCAATTACAGACAGATCTGTAACTTTCTAGATCCTTCTGCCAAATGGCAAAACCTGATATACTTGCAAAATAATGAAAATGCGAGAGAAAACTTACCATTATTCTTGCGCCACATGTTCTTCTTTCACTGTCCAGCGAGGTAATGGATTTGCTTTTTGGGCAACTCCACATTTCGCATGGACAGCGCTTCCACCCTGTGAAACATGCATGCACTGGGTGTGATTCATTCAGTGAGGAAATAACCCCATATCACATACTCCACAGTGACTGAAATGCCCTTTAAATCTCCCACGTGCACAGGCTGCCCAGGACATCTTGCAGATCACCGCTGCCGATGTTGTACGCCGACGTGGCAAGTGGTCAGCGTAGACCACACGTGCAGCACATCCAGTGGAGTTGAGACACGTTGGTAAATGAGTCAATGTTAACCTTCTGGCGCCTCACAAACAGCTTTGGTAGAATACACAAAGTGAGTCAGTGAGTTTGGTTTTACGCCGCTTTTAGCAATATTCCAGCAATATCACGGCGGGGGACACCAGAAATGGGCTTCACACATTGTACCTATGAGGAGAATGGAAGGGAATTCGAATCCATACAGGTCTGTAGACCGGGCTAAGAGGTGAGGTAGCGATCTGAACGTGTTTTGGATCATCGTCAATCTTTCATTTTAGCATATTAATAATATCACAGATGCCATTGTGATCAAACGCAAATGAGAACACGGGTGGACCTTCACTATATCAACTTTTATCACTATATACTGGATTTAAAAATAACCTCGTGTGCTTCTATAATAACTCTGTAGCTGTGAATTCAAAAGGGGATGTATGTATAGAGACTCGGTACTTATATCGGAAGGAAAAGTCATGTGCATCTCCGTTAAAATCTATGTTTAAGTCACCAGGAGATCCGGAATACTCAGGTTGGTAAAGGTGTGACCGCAGTGTTATCACCGAGGGAGGCAAGTCAGGCTTGTATCTCTGTATCACGATGTTCCATGCAAATCTCTATGTGTGTTAAGCAGATACGTATATGCTGGAATAGGACTCTGGCAGACAGCAACCCCGGATATCCTTTTTATAAATAATCTGAGACGCAATCATAAAAACCTTTTCCTTTCTTCTTCTTCTTCTTCTTCTTCTTCTTCTTCTTCTTCTTCTTCTTCTTCTTCTTCTTCTTCTTCTTCTTCTTCTTCTTCTTCTTCTTCTAATCCTGTTTATCCTTGTTTCTTTTCGTGTTGCTGTATCCTTAATCCTTCTTCCACCAGTGGTGGCGCGTGGGTCATGTGCATAGAGCTCAGGTCACAACTCAGTTGAACTTAAGCAACGCTGAGCGCAGACAGTCCTTGGTTGGGTGACCGTGTTTGGCAACTAGGACTTCGCTTCTGCCCCACAACGAAGCCATGTGACACATGTGGTCTCACCTTAGGCAAGTGAGTTTTTTCAAAATTGCATCTGATCACCCAGCAGAAAGTGGGTACCCGGTGGGACAAGTCATGTGACCGGTTATCCGGGGTAATAATGTGTTAGCGCTTTGAGCATCCACAAGTGTGCGGAAAAGGCGCGGTATAAATGGCCATTATTATTCTTCTCCTCAGTTGTAGTGTTCGGGGGACAAGTTTTAGCTTCGAGAGCCATGTTAATGTATGTCTGTACTTGTTGTTACCTGTTGCTTTCTCAAAAGTAACGACACTGCATTAGTCATTGTATGTTTACAACGCTACATGATGGTTGTTTATGGTAGTCTCCACCCTCAGCAAATCATTACTGTAGTAGTAACTGGGCTGCCTCCACCCTCAGCAAATCATTACTGTAGTAGTAACTGGGTTGCCTCCACCCTCAGCAAATCATTACTGTAGTAGTAACTGGGATGCCTCCACCCCCAGCAAATCATTACTGTAGTAGTAACTGGGATGCCTCCACCCCCAGCAAATCATTACTGTAGGAGTAACTGGGATGCCTCCACCCCCAGCAAATCATTACTGTAGCAGTAACTGGGATGCCTCCACCCTCAACAAATCATTACTGTAGTAGTAACTGGGATGCCTCCACCCTCAGCAAATCATTAGTAGTAACTGGGATGCCTCCACCCTCAGCAAATCATTACTGTAGTAGTAACTGGGATGTCCCTCCACCCTCAACAAATCATTACTGTAGTAGTAACTGGGATGCCTCCACCCTCAGCAAATCATTACTGTAGTAGTAACTGGGATGTCCCCTCCCTCAACAAATCATTACTGTAGTAGTAACTGGGATGCCTCCACCCTCAGCAAATCATTATTGTAGTAGTAACTGGGTTGCCTCCACCCCCAGCAAATCATTACTGTAGTAGTAACTGGGATGCCTCCACCCTCAGTAAATCATTACTGTAGTAGTAACTGGGATGCCTCCACCCCCAGCAAATCATTACTGTAGTAGTAACTGGGATTCCTTCACCCCCAGCAAATCATTACTGTAGTAGTAACTGGGATACCTCCACCCTCAGCAAATCATTACTGTAGTAGTAACTGGGATGCCTCCACCCCCAGCAAATCATTACTGTAGTAGTAACTGGGATGCCCTCCACCCCAGCAAATCATTACTGTAGTAGTAACTGGGATACCTCCACCCTCAGCAAATCATTACTGTAGTAGTAACTGGGATGCCTCCACCCTCAGCAAATCATTACTGTAGTAGTTACTGGGATGCCTCCACCCCCAGCAAATCATTACTGTAGTAGTAACTGGGATGCCTCCACCCCCAGCAAATCATTACTGTAGTAGTAACTGGGATTCCTTCACCCCCAGCAAATCATCACTGTAGTAGTAACTGGGATGCCTCCACCCTCAGCAAATCATTACTGTAGTAGTAACTGGGATGCCTCCACCCCCAGCAAATCATTACTGTAGTAGTAACTGGGATGCCTCCACCCCAGCAACGTCATTACTGTAGTAGTAACTGGGATGTCTCCACCCCAGCACGTCATTACTGTAGTAGTAACTGGGATGCCTCCACCCCCAGCACGTCATTACTGTAGTAGTAACTGGGATGCCTCCACCCCCAGCAAATCATTACTGTAGCAGTAACTGGGATGCCTCCACCCCCAGCAAATCATTACTGTAGTAGTAACTGGGATGCCTCCACCCCCAGCACGTCATTACTGTAGTAGTAACTGGGATGCCTCCACCCCCAGCACGTCATTACTGTAGTAGTTACTGGGATGCCTCCACCCCCAGCAAATCATTACTGTAGTAGTAACTGGGATGTCACCTCCCTCAGCAAATCATTACTGTAGTAGTAACTGGGATGCCTTCACCCCCAGCAAATCATTACTGTAGCAGTAACTGGGATGCCTCCACCCCCAGCAAATCATTACTGTAGTAGTAACTGGGATGCCTTCACCCCAGCAAATCATTACTGTAGTAGTAACTGGGATGCCTCCACCCTCAGCAAATCATTACTGTAGTAGTAACTGGGATGCCTCCACCCCCAGCACGTCATTACTGTAGTAGTTACTGGGATGCCTCCACCCCCAGCACGTCATTACTGTAGTAGTAACTGGGATGCCTCCACCCCCAGCAAATCATTACTGTAGCAGTAACTGGGATGCCTCCACCCCCAGCAAATCATTACTGTAGTAGTAACTGGGATGCCTCCATGCCCCTCCACCCTCAGCAAATCCCATGCCTCCACAGCAAATCATTACTGTAGTAGTAACTGGGATGCCTCCACCCCCAGCACGTCATTACTGTAGTAGTTACTGGGATGCCTCCACCCCCAGCAAATCATTACTGTAGTAGTAACTGGGATGTCACCTCCCTCAGCAAATCATTACTGTAGTAGTAACTGGGATGCCTTCACCCCCAGCAAATCATTACTGTAGCAGTAACTGGGATGCCTCCACCCCAGCAAATCATTACTGTAGTAGTAACTGGGATGCCTCCACCCCCAGCAAATCATTACTGTAGCAGTAACTGGGATGCCTCCACCCCCAGCAAATCATTACTGTAGTAGTAACTGGGATGCCTCCACCCCCAGCACGTCATTACTGTAGTAGTTAACTGGGATGCCTCCACCCCAGCAAATCATTACTGTAGTAGTAACTGGGATGCCTCCACCCTCAGCAAATCATTACTGTAGTAGTAACTGGGATGCCTCCACCCTCAGCAAATCATTACTGTAGTAGTAACTGGGATGCCTCCACCCTCAGCAAATCATTACTGTAGTAGTAACTGGGATGCCTCCACCCTCAGCAAATCATTACTGTAGTAGTAATTGGGATGCCTCCACCCTCAGCAAATCATTACTGTAGTAGTAATTGGGATGCCTCCACCCTCAGCAAATCATTACTGTAGCAGTGACTGGGATGCCTCCACCCTCAGCAAATCATTACTGTAGTAGTAACTGGGATGCCTCCACCCCCAGCAAATCATTACTGTAGTAGTAACTGGGATGCCTCCACCCCAGCAAATCATTACTGTAGTAGTAACTGGGATGCCTCCACCCCCAGCAAATCATTACTGTAGTAGTAACTGGGATGCCTCCACCTTCAGCAAATCATTACTGTAGTAGTAACTGGGATGCCTCCACCCTCAGCAAATCATTACTGTAGTAGTAACTGGGATGCCTCCACCCCCAGCAAATCATTACTGTAGTAGTAACTGGGATGCCTCCACCCCAGCAAATCATTACTGTAGTAGTAACTGGGATGCCTCCACCTTCAGCAAATCATTACTGTAGTAGTAACTGGGATGCCTCCACCCCCAGCAAATCATTACTGTAGTAGTAACTGGGATACCTCCACCCTCAGCAAATCATTACTGTAATAGTAACTGGGATGCCTCCACCCTCAGCAAATCATTACTGTAGTAGTAACGGGGATATAGTGGCACCACCAACACCGACACAGTGAGAAGGTGGAAATATCATATGCGTTCTGGAGATGAAATAAATCCGCTGCTTTTTTGCAACTCCACTTGAATTTTTTTTTTGAAATACAAATGCTTAAAACAAGTTGGCTTAGTGTCTTGTATTTGCAGAATTACGTGCTTAGTAGCATGTGTACAAAAATAAAGTTTTTGGTCATTGCAACATTCGAATATTTATGTTAAATTCGACAAATCAGTGGTCATTTCTGTTTTCTACTCGTTTTGTATATGTACACATTGGTCTGTTATTAAACACGATAGCTTTCAGAGAAAGTTTATTTCACCTTCTAAGCAAAATGTTACATTTTCCTGAGTAAACATTGTTTTCTTCAGGCATCAGACTCGGCTTTATTGCCTTATGGTTTCACGTCTTATGAACATATCTGCACTCACATGGAAACATACAGTAGTTGTTGTTTGATCCGTTGCAGAACGGAAAGGCTGTCTATTTTGCCATGCGTAGATGTACATGCATTTTGAGTGGCATTCTTAGAAGTTGGAGAGTGAGATATCTGTATCGAAACGTCGCATCACCTGAACAAAGAAGCTGATCATCCATCAAGTTTGTCCTTATCTGCACTTTTGATGTTACACATATTTCACAGTGAGTGAGTGTACTTGATACACTACATCCCGCTTCTAGCCTAGGTCCTTACTTCAGGACACTCAAGTGGATCTCACACATGAACTTTCGAGAATACTTGCACCCACCATCGTTTCATAGAGGCTCCTTTTGTTGAGTGTGTGAGATCTGGACGCAGTTCTCCTGTCTCCACCTGAAGGAGTGACTCGGTTGGCCAGGCTCCCATGCTGTGTAGATGAGCGGCGAACCATCCACCCACAGGAACGTGTTGGAGTGGAGCTGATCATGGAGACCTATCCACACTGTTAAACATACAAGATCATGAACTCTATAAACATTGGACATCAACAAGGCCCTACAATGTCATACACACAGGGTGTGAGCCCTATCTACACTGTCATACACACAGGGCGTGAGCCCTATCTACACTGTCATATATACAGGGTGTGAGCCCTATCTACACTGTCATACATACAGGGTGTGAGCCTTATCTACACTGTCATACATACAGGGTGTGAGCCCTATCTACACTGTCATAAATACACACAGGGTGTGAGCCCTATCTACACTGTCATACACACAGGGCGTGAGCTATATCTACACTGTCATATATACAGGGTGTGAGCCCTATTTACACTGTCATACATACAGGATGTGAGCCCTATCTACACTGTCATACATACAAGGTGTGTGCCCTATCTACACTGTCATACATACAGGTGTGAGTCTATGTATGTGACCCAGATTAAGAATCTTTTTCAGGAACGCATTCTTGACACCCCAGGCACACCCCATCCCCCAATAATTTCCCAACCCAAACTGCTGCACGATTGAGACATGCTTAGAATATACAATATGTGGATGTACACATTTCAACAAATATTCACTCAATAAAGATGACATGGATATTTTATCACAAAGTAGCCATTGTGTTTGTTGTGTTGTTGCCACATTGGATTTAAATGTTCCATGAACAAAAGTTAATGACATTTGAGACACGTCAAACGTTCCCCATCCAAACTAAAACAAAGATGCTATTGTGTGAAATTCAGACAAAGTGCGAGAAAGTGAGTGAGTGAGTGAGTGAGTGAGTGGAGAAGGCATCAGTAGGGGTAGTTGGTGTTAGGAGATACAACTCTCATACATTCCTTCCGCCGTCTCTTATATAATTGTAGTCATGAGGATCTAGGCTGAGCAACCAGAGTCGTCAATGATTTGTCAATCGATCTCGAGTCGACAGTTTTCAATCACCAATCAATGAGCAGCAGCACCACCACATCATCATCACCATCATCACCACCATCATCATCACCATCATCATCATCATCATCATCATCATCATCATCATCATCATCATCATCACCATCATCATCACCATCATCATCATCATCGATTCGACTATTTACAGTCGTCAATCATTTATCAATCAATCTCGAGTCGACAATTTTCAATCACCAATCAATCAGCAGCAGCACCACCACCATCATCATCATCGACTCGATTATTTACAGAACGCAGCCATATAGCTGGAATATTGCTGAGTACGGCGTAAAACTAAGCTCACTCACTCACTCATCATCACCTGTTTGATACTGCATCATAAAGCTGGCGACCTCCCTCTGTTTCGTCTCATCTTTAACCGTTACAAGATCGGCTCCTTTATTCCTGCAACTCCTCCTCGCCTTGAGCCACGGGGAACCACGTGTGTATATCTTCACACAGGAAAGGCTGTCTTCCAGGAATGTGTACCCTCTTTCTTGGCACATCTCTGAGAAGGATTTACCATTCCCACCAAACAAGGAGCATCGTCTGTTTGTTGTATTGTAGGTGTAGGATCTGCATGGAGGGACTCTTTGACAGTTGCTGATGCAGTGGATGTACGTGTCAACCTTGGTCAGCTTGGCCTGGTACGTCTTCAGGTTGAGGTGAGTCTTGGTACCACTACAGATATCATCGGAATATGCTTCACGAAATGATAGTAACAGTACTATCTCAAGAACAGATCCATATTGATTGATGTTCTGCAAGAATGAAACGATCACTAAATCATATCAGCATTGGGACATGATCGATAATGAAACCAAATACGTTTTTTAAAATTTAAATTATTGGTGGCATTTAGAAGTGATGACCATGAAGAAGTACATTTATGGATGTCAGTTTTAGAACACGGCCGATAAGGCATAATGGTTACTTGAAAGAATTGGCTAGTGACATATTTTTATAAAATGTCAAAACCATACACATAATCTAAATTATGGTAAAACATTCTCGTTGAATGGTTCTTAGAGGAAGGACATTTATAGATGACAGCTTCTGTATTGTGAAGAACATGACCTTTCTGATCATATGTGTACTGTTTCATCAGGTGAATAAATGCTAGGAAATTTCACTTTAAAATAATGTGTTCAAAGTCCCCAGGATTTCAAATGAGCTGAATCATTATAAATTAATACCCCATATCAGATAATAACATCCCATGGACTATTTGGACCAATTTAACACATTCCACACTGCCACAAGAATTCCTTCACGGTGATATTTGGGGACCACTGACATATAAAATGTCAAGACTATTGCTTCCCGATGTATAACATATGGACTAAATTCTCTCCATTAAAACTCCATGTGTTCAACTCCGACAAATACATTTTTTCAAAATAATTTTATTTTGCTTCTATCGACAAATATAAGGCCATATTTGAAATGACAGTGAGGGTGTTATGAAGAGTGCCTGTAAAATATATGTGGGGAGTGTAGATCAATATCTGGCATGTTCGGACATGCACGGGGGCGGTGGGGTAGTCTAGTGGTTAAAGCGTTAGCCCGTCACCCGGAAGACCGGGGTTCTATTGCCCACATGGGTTCTATGTGTGAAGTAAATTTCTCGTGTCCCCGCCGTGACATTGCTGGAATATTGCTAAAAGCGGCGTAAAACTAAACCCACTCACTCGGACATACATGACTGCCAGACCCCATACTGTTGACTAACCTGCGTTTGGTTACCCCTAGTATTATGAAGAGGGACACTTTTTATGGATAGACAACTTCTTTATTTCAATAGATGCGATGTTTCGGTGTGCATGTATCTGCTGACGTCTTCTACCATCTGTTAAAGCCTTGGAGTCTGTAAACATTGTGTAACACTATCGATACACAGACTTCCCTGGCAGAACATAATGTTGGCCGCCTGTGTCAACGTGCTGTCCAAGCACGGGGTGAACATTGATATTGTGTTCATAGCACCGCACGCTATTGTAAATGTGCACCTCCTCCTCGTATGATTCAAATATGTCAAAGGTCTCTGACAGCTGGTGTCAAAACTATCCTTCTAAACTATCCAACTATCACAAATAACTCATATTTTGGCTGTCTGGAAACATTCCTGTTTTAACCAATCGTTTTACGGCGATATTTTGAACTGATATAACTTGTTTGAAACGTTTGGTAAAACTAAGTGAGAAAGAGTAGGTAATCCAGAATTTCAGGATTTGGCATTTAAAAGTTGAGTACCTTTCGCGGATAAAGATCACTTCCATAAAATCAATATCCGAAGTAAAAGACACACAAAGATTCCCACATCAAATCTACGTTTTTCGAATGGATTCTCAGTTATTGCGAACTACTTTTTTATCCATGACATTATAATGCTAGTTGACACTTTCGAACGTAAACGTACGTTAAAGTTCCCAAAGATGCGTTTTCGCGCTGTGCAGTCGTTCCATGTACACACGACATCATTACAATGACGACATTATAACAATCAAACACTTATTTGGAAAAATATTTGAAATTTCATGTATCAATATCACCTATGCGTTTCTTTTTTGTCAGAGTATACCTGGAAAACTGCTGAGAGCAGCGTTAAACAGCAAACAAACAACACCTAACAAACGCATAATGCTGCAAAACGTCAAAGCCAGGAACAACCTCCTTCGAAACGTTCCGTTTGGCGTAGAATGACAAATAAGAAACAGTTCCAGGGGTCACTTGATGTTCAGTTATGTTAAACGAATGAAAGCTATTGTATGGTAAATGTCTGAGAAAACAATATGGCCAAAGTTGGACTACCTCCATGATGTCATCTAGGTGACAGATGGGGCACTTCGACAAGGAGGCATCCCAACGGGCAGCGTATTAGTTTGACTGATTTGCTTAGAGTAATAAATTGCAGCCTGTGCTGCAGTGTTGACCTGCCCTTGCATGTGTTTATGACTGATGCCACCTGTGCGACAGTGCACGCGTACTTACCCTCATACCTGCTGTCATCCATGTTTGATAGTGATCCATAACTCACACCGTGTCACACTACAGTTGACTCCGATATTAGCAGACAATTCCTAACATGATGTCAAACAGTGTATAAAAAAATAATCCCCTCACATTTACAGAGCACACAGAATGTATATGGGTGAAAATTTGCAAAAAAGAGGAATGGCGTTTTCTACTCTTATTTCTGCTTTCGTTACCATATTAAACATTTACTATCTGAGCAGTGTCCTGCTCTACTAACTCAAAACTTACCCTCATTGTTCTTGTGCTAGCAGTGTAGTGGAGAGTTCACGAGATGCTGTCTGTCAGTCCACCTCCGTGTGCTCATGTGGGAGAGTATTGATCTGAGGCACCCGTCGCAAGTTGACGCCACTTTCTCACAAGACAATATAGTGCTTTGTCTCCAGTTGAGACCCTATACAAACAGGGTTATACCAAGTTAGGAGGGGGACAAGTTCTGAACGTATTCTGATAATTCTCCACAGACGTGTCCTACGGTTCCTGAGTTCCTGGTGTAGAAGGCTACCGTAGTGGACACAGAAGACATGACGTCATCACTTTTCCACAACGTTTGTTTAGATGTGTTTTGACTTTAGAACTATGTATTCTCACGCCGAGTTGCATACTACGCTAAATGCTTCTCAGACATCCGAAGCAATCAACTTGTCAAATGACGCAACAAACTTTAAACGTTTGAAGTCTTCACTGCTTTCACTTTTTGTCTCTGGCTGATTGTTAGGAACGAAAGACTCATTCATGATTCAAATCATTTAATAACGTCAGCTAGGTCTGCTAATAAGCGACGTAAATCCTGAAATGATTAACCCAAAATGAAAATTGGTCATTCATTCAAGTTTCTCATGATAGATGCCTACTGTATTAACTATGTGACTAAGGCTCCATAATCAAATCATAGATTTCGTATCACCATTTCCTTCAGTGTGGCATTTGAAAGTTTCTTCACCTCTTGGACTCCACGTGCAAGATTCCCTCATGGTCACACTACCACTTAATGATGTCTGCCTGGCTGGCTGTAACGGTTAACCCTCTCAGATACATGACGACAACGAGGTTGGCAACTTGGCCCATTATCATCCTTACACAGTACCTAGTCACTGCGAGGAGGTCCACATATTGCATGTTTGGTTCATATAGAGCCTTATATACGTAGAATATTGTATAGTATTCCCTGAAATTATTGAGAAAGTTATTTCGGCAAATATCTAATACATGTATATAAACTATAGAAGTTTTACTTAAATGAATATGTTGACATATGATTCTAGTGTCTTTTGAACAGTGCATTTGTACGTGTCTTTTCAGACCTCCTTGCCCTGCAATACACGACTGAATGCGCCTAGGTACACTACCGATGAAATCGTGTGACAGCGTATCGCAATATTCGACCACTTCTTTCTTCATGTGTGGGGCGGTTAGTGGTTAAAGCGTTCGCTCGTCACGCTGAAGGCCCTGGTCTGATTCGTCACATGGGTACAATATGTGAAGCCCATTTCTGGTGTCACCGCCGTGATATTGCTGGAATGGACATAGAGACGTGGTCTGGTCAAGCCGAGATGCACAGGTGCGAGCTGGTGACAAAAAGTGAATAAAACCCTTCCAAAGAGCATATAGTCACTATTACATGAGCCAGGTGTGTTACGAAGTACCCAGGGTTAGGACTGTGCACAATGGGGATAGCTATCGACATTTGGAGAGGAAGGATTGGACTTTTCTATACCGTGGAAGATCAATCGTCAAATTTTACCCCGGTATACGGCTACCTACAGGTACACGTCTGTCTCTTCGCCTTTGTTTAGTTGTTGTCTTGCTGTTGGTTTGCCTGTGGGGATGTCGAATCGAACCCCGGACCCAGAGGTCATGGCAATCAGAGAGACTGTGGGCAGATATCACAAGACAGGGCACAGACAAGATTATCATCTAGGAACGTTTCGGGTGCCTGTGTGTTACCTGAGATGACAGGTGAGAATCCATCGTGTACACTGAACGATCTCAATGTAACGCTGATGAGTATCCAATCCGAGATTACCTCCCTTCACAACAAGTTCGATGTGTTTACACAGGACTTTACCAACAAGATAACACAACTCACAAATGAAAATCAAGAACTTAAAGAAAAGTGTTTTAAACTTGAAGATAAGTTGGATTCCCTCGAGGCTCATTCTAGGAGAAACAATTTGATTTTCATGGATTGACGGACAAGGTTAATGAATCATGGGCAGATTGTGAAAACTGTGTGAGGGATTTTATGAGTAACACTTTGGAAATAAATGAGGCATACAGTATTGACATTGAGAGAGCCCATAGGCTTTACACCAAGGTAGGAACTCGACCAGTGATAGTTAAACTAGCTTCCTTCAAGGACAAATCTGCTATAGTCAACACAGCCCGTAAAGTTCTTGAAAGGTGATAAGGTCCACAGGGTATCGGAAGATTTCACAGAAAGAGTACGTAAAAATCAGATCCAAGCTGTTTCCATTCATGCAAAAATTCCGTGAGGACAAGTCTGTTGCCTTTCTCAGTTATGACAAACTGGTAGTAGACGGTGCTGTGTATGTTTATGATGACGACATCGAGGATATTCGCAAGGTGGGAAATAGGCGTGGTTGGGTATCCCGGCGACCGGCGTCACCGCACCCACAAGAATAGGACAACGGCCGTGGCCTAGACTATTCATATGTGTCGCACCCACAAGAAACTGTTGATTCAACATTGGCTTTATGTTCATGGAATGTACCCTGGACTTAAATCAAAACT